GTTGATCTATTTGTGATCATGTGGTATTAAGGTCCCCCACTATAATTGTGTTGATGTTTATATGTTCTTTTGTGTCCAGTAGTGTTTGTTTTATGAAGTTGAGTGTACTGGTGTTTGATGCATATATATATATATATTTTTTAAGTGGATTTATTTATTTTTTTTTATTGAGTTTATCAGTACATTTTAGGTATACAGTACAGTTACATTCATTATTGGGATCTTGTACCTTTACATGACAGGTCTTGGTTCTCATTTTTTCCCCTTGTCCCTGACCTCCCTTCACCCCTTCCCCCCCCTCCCCATTTACAAACACTTTATTTCCATTTTTTCATTTTGTCATAATTTTTCTTTTCCCTTATTACCTTTCCCCTACCCTTCTCACCTTCCCTACACCTTTAGCCCTTTTCTTCCTATTTCACATTATCAATTATCTCATTAGGATCTTATGTACTATTGTAGTTTCTCTGGTGTGAAAAACTACTATGCATATATATTTACAATTGTTATATCATTCCTGTTGAGTTGTTCCCTTAACCAATATGTAGTGACTTTCTTTGTCCTTCTGATCAGTTTTAGCTTGAAGTCCACTTTGTCTGAAAATAGGATAGCTACTCCTTGTCTTTGGGGTCCCTTTTTTTGGAATATTGTATTCCATCCTTTGATTTTAGTCTATGATTTTTTCAGATTAAATGTGTTTCGTGTATACAGCATACCATTGGATTTTGTTTCTTAATCTAGTCTGCCAATTTGTGCCTTTTGATTGGGGAATTAAGACAGTTGAGAGTTATTACTCAGAGATATTAACTTATTCCTGGCATTACATTGTTTTTCCTATTATTGATACTGTTTTGTTTCCCTTTGTTCTTAACTGTTCCCCTTACCTTATGTATTTATTCCACTAGACTTCTTGGCATTGTTTGCTTCCTCGTGTCCTTCTAAGGTATCCTTGAGAATTTTTTGGAGTGCTGGTTTGGTGGTCATGAATTTCTTTTTTCCTTTTTCTTTCTTTTTTTTTTTTCTGTCATGAATTCCTTAAGGTGCTCTTTATCAAAGAGAGACCTATCGCTTCTCGGCCTTTTGGCTAAGATCAAGTGTAGTATCAAAGAGAGACTTTATTTCTCCATCAATTTTGAAAGATAGTTTTGCAGGATATATTGGTCTGGCTTGAAAGTTTTCTTTTAGGACTTGAGGCACTTCACTCCAAGTTCTCCTGGCCTTTAAGGTTTGTGTTGAGAAGTCTGCTGTGACTCTAATGGGTTTACTGTTGCAAGTTGTTTGTTGCTTTTCTCTAACATCTTTTGAGATTCTATCTTTGTGTTGCACTTCTGGTGACTATAATGTGATGTGGAGTTCTTTTCTAATTGTGCCTATTTTGAGTTTTATATACCTTACTTATCTGTATGTTAAATTATTTCCCTGTACTTAGAAAGTTTTCTTCTATTATTTCTGTAAGCAGTTTTCTTTAATGCAGTTCATGCCATCCCAATTTTTCACTAATTCCCATGATTTTAGTCTTCTGTGCAACATCTAGTAGGTGTTAGGTCTATTTTCCATGATCTCATGTTGTTTATAAGGTATCTCTGAGTATATGGTAACTTGCATCAGCCCTGTTTTGTAGCTCTGACACTCTTGCCTCACATTTGGTCACTTTTACTGCCCGTACTTTTAGTAGAATTTTTATCTCTTGGATTTCTGTTTGGTACATTTTCATGGTGTTTAATTGTTGATACACTGATCATTCATGTTTTGTATTGTTTTGTTTAGCTCAGCTAGATTTTTATTACTGTCCTCTTTAAGCTCAGTGATTATTTTGTTTATTAAGTCCATTATCTGTTTAGTTATGTTATCTTTGAGTTCACCATGCACCTTATTGATCTGAGTTTTTTTTTAGTCCCCTCTTTTATCATTTCATATAAGACAGCTATTTCGCTTTTTCTTTCCTCTCCATCCATAGATTAACTTCAGGAAAATTGAGAGTTTCAGTGAGCATTTTGTTACCTTGTTTTCTTATGTTTCTTTCTTTTTTTGGGGGGGTTGAAGGTTGAGGGTCAAAATTATAGTTAAAATACTTTGTTGTTAATGTGGAGATACCTTTAGTTAGTGTGTGCTTTCTAGTGATGCACTCTGGGCATGGATAAAAACAGGCCTTTGCCTCTGTCTCGATATCTGACCATTTCCATTCATTTGGGGAGGGGAGGGTGCAGTGTAATTGCTCAGCACCCAGTTCTCTTGTAGAGAAGACAGGCTCCCCCGCCCTGGGAGCCAAGGTTAACATTCCAGACTGTTTAATTTTTTTTCTGCCTTGGTTCTCATTTAAATATAATAATATTAAATACTTACTTTAAATTATATAATTTTTCAGGCACAGAGAATAGTATAAAAATAATATACACAAATGTACCCAGATTTAACTGCAATTAAATTTTGATTTCTTTTTTATTTTTTGTTTAAATAAATTTTGCAGATCAAGTCATCACTCTGCATCTCATTTTCCTCTCCCACTCTCTGAGGGTAATCGCTATGTTTGTATTCATAACAGCATTGTATAGCATTGCTCTGTGTATTCTTAAAATTAACGCAGAAATTATACTTTCTCCCATGCATGAGATTTTCTCTATTGTGTATCAGTAAGAATGGAATTGCTGGTGCATAAAATATCTAAACTGACTGTAAACACCAATCAATCAAAAATAAATAATGTCCTAAATAAGTAGAAGTTTATTTTGCCCTCACATTAGAAAAAAAATCATTCTCAAGAAAAGTAGTACATGGGCCCAGGATTTAGCTTAGTGGTACCGCACCTGCCTTGCAAGCACAAGGTTGTAAGTTCGATCCCTGGTACCAATAACAAAAAAAATGTAGTCCAGAGTTGGAATGGAGGACCCCGAGGAACTCAGGTAAAAGTGTAGCTAAATCCAAATCCAGAAATGCTGCAGCCCCTAACCATCACTTTTAGGTTCCCTAATGAGGGAAGGAAAGAAGGGCTCAATTAATATTCTAGTCTTATTGATCTTATTTTTCACCTCTACAATTTCTGTATGTTTATTTGCTTTTTGTTACATGCTTATGTTGGTTTCTGTCCTTTCTTGTATCTTTCAGTTAATTTTTATATACTTGTATTATGAACTTCTGAATTATTCTGTCATCTCTGTTTCAGAGACTCCTGTTATCTTCCTGTCCGTATCATGGTAGATCATTTGTAGCGTTTTATACAGTCCATCTTCTGTTTCAATTGTATTTCTCTGGCTCTGTGCTCTTATCACCTGCTCTGAAGAAGTTTTACTGCAGAGCAGTTTTTCAAATATTTTTGTCAGATATCACTGAGGTGTACTAGTTGAGGTCAAATTTTATAACAGCTTCAAAGATTCCCTCACCTTGTGGAAAATATAAATCCATACTTCAACCATGACAAAGTCCTGGCTTAGGGTTTCTATTGTTTTTGTTTTTGTTTTTTGAGATAGGGTCTCACTATGTAGTTGAGACGTTGTAGCCCAGACTGGTCTCGAATTTACAGCAATCCTCCTGCCTCCACCTCCGGAGTGCTGTGATTACAGGTGTGCACCACCACACCCGGCAGGGGTTCTATTGTTTACAAAGGCTTTTTTCTTTCACCTACAGCCTCAGGCAGAGAGCTTCCTTGTTGCTTTCCTGGTCTACCTGGAAAAATTTTGGTACTGTCAATCTGATTAAAAGATCTATCAGTCCTTTTTCTGTTGCTATACTGAAATACCAGAGGCTAGGTAACTTGTAAAGAAAACATTTACCTCATAGTTCCAGAGGTTCCAAGGCATGGCGCTGGTACCCACTCTGCTTAGGGAAGGCCTCAGGATGGATGGTCTTATGACGGGAGCATGTCTGAGCAAAAGATTCCACAGCAAGACAGGAAGTGAGAGACCTGCTGGGCGGAGAGGTTGTGGAACCCCACAAGAACTTGTTTATTCCTTTCAAGGGCAGTGCAACTGATGACATAACAACTGCCCACGAGGCCCCACCTCTTTAAGGTCCCACAACACCTTAGCATCACCATGCCAGGGACCAGCTTCTAACAAACAAAACTTTGGGGACATACTTAAACCATATCCAAATCACAGCAAGGGATTCCTCTGCAGGGCGGTGAGGTGGGCTTACTCAGGGCTTCAGGTCCAGCCATCTCCTTTCCCTGGTCCAAGGCCACGCCTACTGCCGCCTTATGGATGTTTAAAACTCCAATCCCTGGTTTATGTCCTGTATCCAGGTCTGTTATTCCTGGTAGACCTGATGAGTTTAGCGCCCAATCTTCCCCTCCTTTGTCTGTAGAAGGAAGTAGGTAGATATATATTGCCAAGTGTGCATATTTTGCTGGCACGAGTCCATATCTTTCATCCGTTTCTTTAAAAGTTTACTAATTACTGCTTAAATACAATGTGAGACTATTCCAGTTTTGTGTTTTTGTTGTTGTTGTTGTTTTGTTTTTTTCTTCAGTACTGGGAATTGAACTCAGGACCTTGCACTTGCAAAGCAGGCATGGTGCCACTGAGCTAAATCCCCAGCCCAAATTCTTAAAGTAAATCTTAAGGGTAGTTTGTGTTGTATCAGGAGACTCACAAAATACTTTATCAGATATCTCCTTCTGCACTGTAAGCTCCTTTCACGATTTAAAGCACGATTTCACTTATAACTTTGTATTTATTTAGCAGCTTTTCAGAAACTTATTGAAAAAAGCAAGAGCTGCCAACACAAATAAGTAGATATATCCAGGACACAACAGACACTTTATTTCCTCGTACTTTTGCCCTGAAAAGGGGAGAGAATTGGGCAAGCAGTTAGGTGCTTTCCACACAGCAGAAGGGGCAGATGACAAAAGACTTGGCTGAGGAAAAGAGGTCACTAGAAGTGATGATGCTGGACCACGGTGGGGAGCAGGGTGTGCAACCTGTGCAGCAGATCCTAAAAAGACACGAAGATTCTGCTCAGGGATTGGGACAAGATGCAGCAACAGTGTGGTTTCTCTTCTACAGATGAAAATGAATGTGAGCAAAACAATGGCGGCTGCAGTGAGTTCTGCATAAACCTCAAAAATTCCTATCGCTGTGAATGTGGGGTCGGCCGAGTGCTGAGAAGCGATGGCAAGACTTGTGAAGGTAAGGGACGTCAGGAAGGGGCCCAGATCCAGAGCCCAGAGGAAACCATCAGCGTATTCTTTGCCACTGAGGCAAGAGCCTAGGTGTCAGGGGAGAGTAACAGGCAGTGTAAAGAAATGACAAAAGAGGTTCATCATTGTTGTGAACAGAAGTCACTGTTGATTTTACCACCAAGATTTAACAGGAAGAAATTTTACAAGAGGCAGAAACCCATATTCTTTTAGGGGAAATTAGAGTATTACATGTTTTTCAAACTCAAGTGTGCCCGTGAATCACACAGAATGTCTCACTCTCTCTCTTTTTATGGTACTGAGGATTGAGCCCAAGTCCTTCACATTGAGCTACATTTCCAACCCCTCGCTCCCCTTCCCTCCCTTCCCTGCCTCCCTCTTCCCTTCCTCGCCCCTGCCTCTCTTGCTAAATTGCCCAGACTGGAGTTGAACTTGAACTTGAACCTCCTGCTTCCACCTCCCACAGTGCTGTGATTATAGGCTTGTACTACCATGCCTGGATCATGTAGGCTCCTGTTCAAGCACAGATTCTGATTCCATAAGTCTGGGATTGGGTCAAGAAGTTGTGTTTCTACATAGTGTATAGTTGACACCTGTGCTGCTAGTCTAAGCAGCACACCTGGAACAGCTAAATAATAGAGGCAGGAGCAGAGCAAATGGTTTACATTGTTTCCCAACCTCCGCTGCTGATGAAAATCACTGAGGCTTTGCACCCAGCCCCTGCCAGGCCCCTCTCCTGAGGTTCTGTTTCTGTAGGCTGGGAGAGGCCTTGGAGCTTGAGGGTTTTGTTTTGTTTTGTTTTGTTTTTGAACTTGAGTTTTTAACAAGTTCCATCTATAATTCTTAGTGTCCTGGAAGTTGGAAGACTGCTTTAATGAAGCCATTCCTACTGCATGCTTTGTATTTACTAGAGATAAATACTTTTTTAAAGGATAAATAAAATGAATTATTTTTTAATGTTAGAGTTACCAGGGATTGAACTCGGGACCTTGTGCTTTTGAGGTAGGTGGCAGAATCACTGAGTTAAATCCCCGGCCTTTAAAATGAATTATTTTTTAATAGCAAAGACGTAGGTACATTTTATGTGATTAAGTAACGAAAAGAAACCCTAATGTATATCACATAATTGAAACTAAAATTATCTACTATTATTGTTTTATTTTCATTTTTACACTTGATCTTAGCCAAAAGGCCGAGAAGCGATTATTTTCATTTTTAATTGACAATAATTACACATATTTATAGGATACCATGTGACATTTTAATAACCTATTATTACATGAAACTGAATTAATGTCCTTTCTCTAAGGCACATTTATTTTTGCAAGTTATCACCGCTGAAATGGCATCACTTATGCTTTCATAAATCTGAATTCTCGTGACACTTAGAGTGTGACAATGGAGAAAGAGAAACAGCTTTGTTTTTTGGGAGGAGGGTTTTTGTTTGTTTGTTTGTTTTTTGAGACAGGGTCTCACTATGTAGATGAGACTGACCTGGAATTCACTATGCAGCCCAGGCTGGTCTCAAACTCACAGGGATCCTCCTGCCTCAGCCTCCTGAGTGCTGGGATTACAGACATGCACCACCACGCCCAGACAGTTTAATTGTTTTTATTTGTCCTGTGGGATGATTGGATTTGGGGAGTCATAGAGCATAGTACTACTTACAAGAATTCACTTTATCCTTATAATATTCAAAATAATATAATACTACTCCAAAAGGAAAAAGTATGGTTAGTACCCACAATTTATTCCATACAACAAAGTTTGTATTACTAGGGATGAGAATTTATCTCAGTGGTCTGCTGCCTGCCCACCCAAGTTCAATCCCCAGTACCTAAAAAAAAAAAAAAAAAAGATTTCTGAAAGAGGAAAGAGGATGTTTTATATCTCCCAAAATGAACTTTCTTAAGCCATTTTATTTTTCTGAATTATGATAATTCTAATATTTGTAAGATGAAGGCATTGCCTAAATGTTCATTCAGAATATTTCTAGGTCTAAAAATAAAGAGCACAAAAGAAAAAAAAATATATATATATATAAACATTACTAGAATGTTAAACTCCTGTCTTTTTTTTTTTAAATTGAGTTTGTTGTTACATTTTAGGTATACAGTACAGTTACATTCATTGTTGGGATCTTGTACCTCTACATGACAGGTCTTGGTTCTCATTTTTTCCCCTTGTCCCTGGCCTCCCTTCACCCTCTCCTCCTCTCCCCATTTACAAACACTTTATTTCCATCTTTTCATTTTCTCACATTTTTTTCTTTTCCCTTATTACCCTTCCCCTACCCATTCCACCTTCCCTACACCTTTAGCCATTTTCTTCCCATTTCACAATGTCAGTTATCTCATTGGGATCTTATGTACTATTACAGTTTATTCACACTAGAGAAACTATTCAGTATTTACACATGTGTGACTTATTTATTTCACTTAGGAGTATATCCTCAATATATATCCATTTTCCTATGAATTAATCTAATTTCTCATTCTTTATGGCTGAGTAATACTCCCTTTTATAGAAAATCCACATAAACCCCTGTCTTTATAAAAAAAATTAATTCATTTTAAATTTTGTTGAATAAAAATGAGAACCAAGACCTGGCATGTAAAGGTACAAGATCTCAGTAATGAATGTAACTGTATTGTCTACCTAGAATGTACCAATAAATTCAATTTAAATTAAAAAACATAAAATAAAAAATGAATTTTGTTGAATAAGGGTAATGTCCTGACTATCCTTAAATTTTAATTATTTGATTAATAAGTTTTGCATATTTGAATATTAATGAAATGGCCCATGAGGAACATTCATGAGTATTTTATTGGAACTATCACAGTTAATCTTCTATAATCTTAAAGCCTAATCACCATAAATGAAAAATATCTTAACAAAAGATTAAAAAATCATGTATGAGTTACACTTTAGGATTACTATTTCTATTAGTAATCCTTAAAGTTTTACTGATAGTCTAAATATACTTGTTTCTTCACTGGGGCTGTTGAATAATTGGATCATCTTCAAATAATAAACAGCCTTTAAAAATAAAATAGGGCCAGGGATTTGGCTCAGTGTTTCCACCACCTACTTCACAAGTGCAAAGGCCTGAGTTCAATCCCTGGCACCAATAAATAAATAAGTAAATAAAGCGGCCTTTTAATTTTTAAAGTAATTTTTATTATTTTATTATGAAAGTATAGGGGAAAAAAGTATAGGAGTAAAAGGAAGATAATTAAAATGACCCCGAATTCCCCCTGCCAGACATGCCCATCCTACACATTTTGGTATATCCTCCTGAAAGACTTCAGTCCTTTAAGGCAATTTAGATTTTCAAGGTTTTTTGTGTGCTCTGCATTTTTAGACCTAGAAATATTCTGAGTGAACATTTAGGGCAATGCCTTCATCTTACAAAGATTGGAAAAATAAAATGGCTTAAGGAAGTTCATCTTGGGAGCCAGGGGTACAGCAAAGTTGCAGAGCACTTACCTAGCATGACTGAGGCCCTGGTGCAATTCCCAGCACCACCACAAAGAAAAGGCATTTTTTAGAAAACCTATTTCCTATTAATGTTGACTTTAGCATCTTATAGCATATTTAGGCTTTCTCCCACACTGTTCCATATAATCTCACCCATTTCTAAAGCCCATAAACAGTGATAGCTAATGTCTTTCAAGTTTTGCAAAGAATAATTCATCGCAAATTTATTCTCTATATGTTTCACAAAAGTTTATTTATCCTGTTAATTTATTGATGTCCCAGAGGACTAGTTTCCTTTTTTTTACTATCATTGAACTGATAGAGTTCTACATATACCTGAAAATAAGCTTACATACTTCCCTAAGCATCTCAGAAGACTTGAAACATTTCCTGATAAGTATACCCTAGAATAGGGATCAGCAAACTTCTGTAATGGTCAGGCAATAAATATTTAGGCTCTGTGGACCATACAGAATCAATAAAAAATATTCAGCTCTGCCCATGCAGTGAGAAAGCAGCCATAGAAATAGGTAAACACATGGACATGGCTGTGTGCCAATAAAACTACTTGAAACAACATGTAGCAGGTTAGAGTTTGACAATCCCTGTCCTAGAAGACAATGCGCAGGTTCCTGGTTATTTTTCCTCTGCTAAGCTTAAAGTCACATGGTAGTTTCTTTGATTTTTCAATTGAATATTTTCCTTTTTTGTCCATTTGACTATGTGTTTTGAAAATATAAACAACAAAAGAGGAAAGTTTAAAAAAAAAACTAGTAAGAAAAATACCACCACGAGTTTGATTGAATGGACTTTCAGGGAATTGGCCTTTTATCCCCCTGCGGAGGATCAAACTCAAGGTGCTTAGCATGCCAGGCAAGCATGCTACCACCGAGCTACTCCCTCAGTCCCTAGGCCAGGGACGGTGAACCTTTCAGAGATGAGTGCTCAAACTGCAACCCACACCCACTTTATTTAATGGCAATTAAACCTTTCACTTAGAAAAAACAACTCATATATTAATCATCTCTTTTGTCTCAAAGGAAAAACACTCATGCCACAGGTTTGGCCACCACTGCCCTAGGCCTTTTTTATAATGTGCTGTCATCCTAAGATCCTTTATCCCCAACGTTCTTGATCCTAGCGATTCAACAGAGGGTTCATGATCCAGCCAGTTGGCTGTAACTCTAATGCACGCAGCCGATCCAGTTGAATTTACACTATTTCAGTCCCTTTGCAACAATAATAATTTCTAATTGGGTGCATTAAGTGTTGCAGCAATTAATAAATGACTTTTGGGTGTCACTCCTGAAAAACCCATAATCCCAGTTCAACCATGAGAAAAAAAAAACATCAGGCAAAACCAAACTGAAGGATGTTCTACAAAATTCCTGTCTGGCTTAAGTGGACAGAGGTGTGGAGATTGGAAGGTTATTCTCTGTAACTATAATGCTCAGCAAACAACTTGTGGGCTAGCATGCATGTCTCAGTTACTGGGTTAGACTGCAGGGTTACTGCTACGGGTCAAACATAAACCTTGATGGTAAGCACCAAGGTCCTGAGGGGAAGAGGGTCACAAGATGATTCCCCTTTCTGTTGGTTTCTCCTGCAGACATCGAAGGATGCCACAATAACAATGGTGGCTGCAGCCACTCCTGCCTTGAGTCAGAGCAGGGCTACCAGTGCGGGTGTCCCCGGGGCTTGGTGCTAGCTGACAACAACCACACTTGCCAAGGTAGTATGCAGAGGGCTCCACCTCTGCTCTGCGTTGTGCTTCCTCCTGCCCTTCACCCACCAGACTATCATCTTCCAGAACAACTCCTTGAGCTATGTGCGTCCCTAGGACATCACCCAAGAGCTCACTCTTTGTGGCTTACCTTTGATTTTTCTTGAATTCTCATGGCTTACAGTATGACTCATACTCCACTTGGAAGGATAAGACATTGAGGTGGTTCTCTTTTCCAACAGATAAAAGGGCTGAAGCTAAGTTGAAGCCCTGGGGAATGGATTCTTCTCCCATCAGGCACCCACTGAGAACTATTTTCTGGAAATCTAGTTCTTGGTATCCAGAATATGAATTCATTCATCCAGAAAATATTTAACAAGCACTTGTTTTTTCTGTACTCCCTAACTGTGATGTAGCCTCACATGTGTGTAGTCTCACACACTGCACACTGCACAGTATTCGATATCTGTAGTCTGGAGAAGTGAGCATGGGAATACTAAGGAAAAGAGATCTTTTTTATATTAAGTTAAAGTGGATTTTATAGTCAGAGTATATGGTTTACTGAGCAGTGCAAGGACAGTTTGGAAGCCTTCCCCAAGTGCAATAACACTGTTTATCACCCCTGTTTTATGGGGCCATCCATAATTAATGGTAAAATCAAGGCAGTACCACTGTATTGTTTAAACAAGTATCAAAGCTGTACTTTTTCTGTATCACCAATAAATTGCATTGGTGCTGAAAATTAATCCTCTAGGTGTTTCACTTCTTCAAGTTATGCTAGCCATAAGCAAATGCTTGTAAAGAAATGTTTGTTGAATTGAAACTTGAACACCATATTTCCTATCTCAAGGAATAATGTATTTGAGAAGCGTTATTTGACCACAATCTTGGAAGTTAAGAATCCTGGTCTTACTTCACCAACTTGTTTTGATTCCCTAAAGAATAGAACAAAAAGCACAGGCTGTGTGAAGGAGACATCATTCCCCCCAGAAGCCCTCCTGACTCTTCCTCCCCCTCCAGTTTCCAGTTCTAACAGTAGCCCCTTCCGTACAGTCCCTGTGGTGTGCAGATCAAATGCCATTGAAGTGAGTGTCCCCAGGGAGCTGGTTGGCGGCCTGGAGCTCTTCCTGACCAACACCTCCTGCCGAGGAGTGTCCAACGGCACCCACGTCAACCTCCTCTTCTCCCTCAAGACGTGCGGCACCGTGGTCAATGTAGGTCTCTCCTGGGGATCTTGGGGAATGACTAGGACCCAGACATTTGGGAGGCAGCTGGTAGAGATCTGCAGTGTGGCTCGTGTCATAGATGGGATATTTCCACACGAAAGAACTGAGCATCCAGCAACTGATGTCATTCATTTAACAAATGTGTTACTGAGTATCTGCCATGGGGCTGCACCGCAAGGGGATTCTGCTGCCCTGTTCTGAGTCAGTCACCCCTCTCCCATCTGCCCAGACTGAACCAGCACCAGGGGTACTGGGGCACTGGCAACTTGCCCTCTGACCTGTTCTTTTATTTGAAGAAAATGATTAAATTGAGATGGTTCATTCGGGATATAGTAAATAAGCTCCAGGATTACACCAGGTTCAGGTCAAAGGTTTCTTCTTTCCTCCAAAAGTCTGCACACAGCCCTGTGCTGCAGTCTGAGGGGAAGATGAACTAAGAGTCCTGCCTGTTGGCCACTTGCACAGCTGTACTGAGATGACCACACGTAAGCGGTAACGGGCACAAACAGTGACACAAGATGACAGGGCCTCTTGGCGTCCAGTAAGAGAGAAGTGGGCTTGGATTGGGGTGGAAGTGTGCATGTGGCTTCTACAAGGAGAAGAAACAAAAGGGCCTTTTAGCTGGGGAACAGTGTAGGCAAGTTCTGTGGGTTGTTTCTGGCTAATCCAGTGGAATTGGATAAGGCTGGTGCCCACAGAGCAGACCCAGCCGGAGACAAAGCTGAGTCACCTGCGGTAATGCAAGCTCTGAGCTTCTGGGTGTGGCTGTGGCCTGCACAGGGTCACACTGCAGTGGAACTAAGTAGCTTAGGACTCCTGAAAAACATCACATGGCTGCTGTCCTTTTCTAAAACACCAGAGCTTAGAATGTGCTGATTCTGCTAGCGAAGGTTTTACAAGCAGTGCTCCAGAGGAATGTGTGCAGTGACCGAGAGCTAGAAGGTAAACGTCTAACAATCAGGATGTCTTGCTAACAGAGGAGAGCAATTTAAAAAAGCCTTTGGGCCCGGGATTTAGCTCAGTGGTTCTACTGCCTGCTTCACAAGTGCAAGGTCCCGAGTTCAATCCCTGGTACCAAATAAATAAATACGCTTCGGCTGTAAAGATTTTGGGGGAAATTTCTGTAGAAATAAACTCTCTTCCTCTCGTGGCCTGGCCTGGCTCAGGTGGTGAATGACAAAATCGTGGCCAGCAACCTCGTGACAGGTCTCCCCAAGCAGACCCCAGGGAGCAGCGGGGACATCATCATCCGGACCAGCGAGCTGCTGATCCCGGTGACCTGCGAGTTCCCGCGCCTGTACACCATCTCGGAAGGCTACGTCCCCAACCTCCGGAACGCCCCGCTGGAAATCCTGAGCCGCGATCACGGCGTCTTCCCCTTCACGCTGGAGATCTTCAAGGACGACGAGTTCGAGGAGCCCTACCGGGAAGCGCTGCCCAGCCTCAAGCTCCGCGACTCGCTCTACTTCGGCATCGAGCCCCTGGTGCACGTGAGCGGCCTGGAGAGCCTGGTGGAGAGCTGCTTCGCCACGCCCACCTCCAAGGTGGACGAGGTCCTCAAGTACTACCTCATCCGGGACGGGTAATGCCCTGCTGGAGCTGCACCCTCAGCCTGCCCAGCACGCGGTCCTAGCCTAGCCCTGCGCCCAGCTGCTCCTCCTTAGCTCAGGGGCGCTTACTGCTCTGGAGGTAAGGGATGGAGGAGGAGGAGGAGAGGAGTTAAAACGACTCCAAGGTGTGCAGCTCAGGTGACTTACTGGATCCATTGCCCTAGATGAAAGACAGATGTAGAAAAGCAGATTTAAGGTGAAAATATTGAATTTGATCATACAGAATAGGGTTTTTTGTTTTGTTTTGTTTCGGTGCTACTGGGGACTGAACTCAGGGCTTTCTCACTGAGCTACATCTCCCCCTTGTCTAGAGACAGGGTCTTGCTAATTGGCTAAATTGCCCGGGTTTGAACTTGTAATCCTCCTGCCTCAGCCTCTCAGAGTGCTGGGATTACAGGCCTGTACCAACCTGACTAAGTTTACATTTTAGATACCTGCAGGCCACCTAGAGAGAGAAGGCAGTTGGGGATGCAGCTCAGGCTCAGGAACAGAGTGAGGATCAGTGTACAGGACAGAGAATGAGCTCCTTTACCCTGGGAACTGTAGGCTGGGGATGCTCAGGGAAGGCAGGGTGTGTGTGCCCCCCCACGTGGGGCTCAGCCTTGTTGAGGGGGCTGAGAATGTGTGGGGAGGAGGAAGTGAAGTGGCAAGCGCAGACCCCTCTTTTTACGAAGTTTGGTAGCGAAGGAGAGAGAAGAAATACTTGGCAGGTTTTAGGAGAAGATATTAGGAGGAGATTTTAGGAGAAGAAAAGCGTAGAGGTTTCCACGACATCCTCTAAGGGTCCCCGGATGAAGTTTGCAGGTGTACTCAGGTAGCACTGAATACCTAACAGTGCTCACAGCCATCACCAGGGAGATACATGCAAACCCCCGGTCTCATGTGTGTCTTGTTCTGAACGCAGGTGGGCAAGGCTCAGGTAGGGGCAGGACTGCAGCTTCGTAGCAGGGCCCTGGTGCAAAGCGAGTCTTGGGCTCGGCTCTTGGCCAGTCTCTGCTTTTACTTCTCGAGTCTCCCCGCTGCTACCTTTGCCTGCTGCTACCGGTCCCATACACTGCGTTTTCAATGTGGGACACACATCAGGGTCAGCTTTTTAACAAATAGCAGTGCCCAACCCTGTCCTCTCCATTCCAGTCCTATTGTAATTCTGGTGCTGGATAAACAAAAACGGCCTTCCGCACCCACCTGTCAGACCTCCGCTCTCCAGAAGCAACAGAAGGAAAATGTGGCTTTGTCACACCCCTGCCGAGACCCTGTAGTGGCTCCTTCCTTCCTTTCGGAAATGGCAGCTGTCTCCCAGAGGTGCATGTGGACCCTGAGTCCTGTGGTCTCCTCAGCTCCTTTGCACCAAGAGGAAAGTCTGTGGTCCTGAGTGGCTTTGGGGGGCCATGAAGGGGTCCATCATACAGGGCAGCATAGCCCTTTGGATTTTGTGCATCCTGAAGTGATTGCCATTAAGTTGGTTAGTCTTTGTTGGTGGTGGTGTTTGGTTTTTGGTTTCTGAGAGAGGGTTTTGCTATGTACTTCTTGAACTCACTATGTAGCCTGAGCTGTCCTCAGACTCGAGGCAATCCTCCACCCTCAGTCTTCCTAGTGCTGGGATTACAGGCATGCACCACCATGCCCGGCTCACATTTACTTTTTGTTTTGTTTTGTTTGTGGGTTTTTCTTTTTTTGTACTGGGGATCAAACTCAGGACCTTGCGCTTGTGAAGCAGGCAGTGGAAATACTGAGCTAAATCCCTGACCCTCTTACTTTTAAGAAGTGTATAATCAGAACTCATTATTGGAAGTGAGTGACCTGAAATCTCAATAATGCCGGTGAAATTTTCTTCTGTATTTATTGTTCAGACTCTCAGGGAAGGACTATTTGCTTTGTTTTACCTGGTTATGAGAAGCTGCACTGCTCATTCTTCTAGCCCTTACCACATACAAAAGAGAAATACCTATGTGCTGTAAAAGAAAAAAAGTGCAGGCAAGAATGCAAAAGTGCTGCAGTGTGGGCAAAGAGGATGAGAGCTGTTATGTGCAGGAGAGAGCCAGGCCCTCAGCCTCCCCCATTTCCGATATGGCCAGAGGGAATTGCTGGCAGCTCATCCTGGCTCCTTACAGCCTCTTGACATGGCCCTGCTATTTCCTCTGCCTGAAATCTTTTTTCCTGTCTGATCCTCTCTGGCCCTTTGGAATTAGTGGCATTCACTTCCTCAGGGAAGCCTTGCCAGATCTGTCAGGCGGTGAATTAAAGGCCTCCTTCCTCCTCAAGGCCTAGAAGAGAGGAGGGGCCATTAAATATTTACCCAGCAAATCCCTGAAGGAATATTCAGAATAGTAATTTGGGATGAGCCACAAAACTAAAGTAACCATGATATACTTACTTATATTTAACTTTTTTTGATTATTCACTTTTTTTTTTTTGAGACAGGGTCTCACTATGTAGTTGAGACTGACCTGGAACTCACTATGTAGCCCAGGCTGGTCTCGAACTCACAGCGATCCTCCTGCCTCAGCCTCTCAAGTACTGGGATTACAGGTGTGCGCCACCATACTTGGCTGACTATTCACTTTTAAAAGTTTTCATTGTCTTCAGCTTAAATTTATTTCAAGCTGGTTTCTCCTAGATGTTGAACACACCTGATCTACTTCCCTCTGGTTTTAGTTGGTACATGCTCTGAGAATGTAAAATAGCTTAATTCTTGCCTAAGTGAAATATAATTAAAAAAGGGAATCCTCAGAAAAAGAAATACTGGGTTCTAAAGTCAAATACTGAGCAACATTTTGATAAGCAATTTCTGTGGACTCTCCTACACCACTGCTATTTGCTTTTAACACACAAACTTGGAGTTGTGAGAACTAACACTATCTAATCACAGCAAGCACCAAATCAAGAGTCAAAATTTGCCCTGTAATGCATTACCTTTTAAGAACCCTGTCTGTCTCATTTTCCCTTTTAAAGAAAAATAATAGTATTTTTAGGTAAACATAAATTGAAATTGCTGAAACATTTAGATGAAAAGTACCTTTTAAATATTAAGTGTTGTTATTGTTATTATAGATGCTGGACTACCCTAGGCCACATTACTCTGTGTGTATTGTAGACCATATTTGTGTTTGTTTGTGGCTAGGGACTGAACCAAGGGCTTTGTACAGGTAGGCAAGAACTCCACCATTGAGCTACTTCCAAAACCCGAATATTACTCATCCCCTCTGAGGCACCCAGTAGAGAATCCTGTACAGATTAGGTATGCGATTTATCTTTATTATAAAACACAATGGAAAGCTATAAATTGATTTTACCTCAGAACAATCAGATGGAGTAAATAAATACAGGACATAGCAGAAGCCATATCATCTGCTCAGATCCTCTCCAGTTCAATGGAATAAGATGCTAGTGGTGATTCAGGCCGAGATGCTGTCTTTTGAAACAACTTTATTGATGTTTCAGCAGCTCGCAAGTGACAACAGTGAACTAAAACATGGTGCATTAGCATGTGGAGCAAGAACCCATTTCAGAGGCTTTTCTGTCCGACCTCACTCTTTTCCTGGCCCAGCAGACAAACTGCAAGGTGCCCATTAAAAAGCAACGAGGCGTTCCCAGATGTAGCTCAGTGGTGCTGCACCTGCCTGGCAAGCTCAAGGTCCTGAGTTTAGTCCCAGTACCAGAAAATTAATTAAGTAAGTAAGTAATTATTTTTAAAAGCTGGGAATTTAGATCAGTGGTGCCACCACCTGCCTCACAAGCACAAGGTCCCAAGTTCCATCCCCAGTACCAAAAAAAGAAAACAAAAAGCAACTATGTCCAGGGGAAAAAGTTTTCTTTACAATTTGAGTGGGATAACTAACACAAGAGTGATCCTGGGCCTTTCTGGGGAAACTCTTCTTCAGTATTTAAAACTATGGCTTTGGTATGAAGCCTCAGAGACATCTTCTCCCCAGCTGTTCCTGAGGCAAACCTAGAAGTTACAGTGCAAGCAGCAGACCAGAGATTGAAACGCCAAGTTCTATCAAACTGCAGCTGCCATTATATTGGGTAAAGAGGAATTAATACAATTTCAGGTGAATGGTTACTCCCCAGTAGACCCACTTGTTCCCTAAGAAACCAAGATGTGTGTTCAGCAATTTGAGGCACAGCTTGTACTCTGTTCCCTTGTGCACCTGCTCAGTGGCTGGTATCTCTCAGGTGTGCAGTATATACTTGTTAAATTTAAGAAACATCTCTTCAAACCAATGGTAAACCACAAAATCATAATTCCCTGCAATATAATAAGAAGAGCTTAAGCAGCCAAAGTTTTCTTTGAAACATACGTTGTTCATGTTGCTCTACTGAAACACATTAACGGAAGAAGTGCTGTAAGTACCCTGCCTGGCTGGTGGCCCAGCAGGTGGGGAACGGGACAGGCATACTTGTGAGGAGGGCTGTGTCCAACAATACCTTCACTAAGAGGGAATTTCATTTGCTTTTGTTTCTCAAAAAGCCGGCAAGCAGCCCAGCCCCCTCCACCCCATGTACCTCTCCTGGTCCAAACACGTCGGACAGGGCTGTTTTCCATCTCTGTGGAAATGATTAAGTCTTACGTGGAACCTGTGCTACTTTCAGCTGTATTTCAGATGACTCAGTGAAGCAGCACTCATCCCGGGATCACCTAGCAAAGCACTTCCAGGTTCCTGTCTTTAAGTTTGTAGGAAAAGATCACCAGGTGAGCTGAACACCTTTACCTCCTAACCCCAGACCTGAGCCTTCCTTCTTGATGTCCTGTCCTTTGATCAGTTGACCTTGTGAGAGCCAGTGGTTAGGACCTGTGTGACCCCTGGGAATAATACAGTTCAGCTGGCCATTGAGAAGCTTAACACCATAATGCATTTCACAATCACTGCCACCCCTTCCCACGAAATAATACTGTAGCGAACCAGACGGGCAGGGGTGACAGTTGCCTGAAATTCCACTACTCAGGAGGCTGAAGCAGGAAGGTTGAAAGTTTGAGGCCAGCCTGGGAAAGTTAGTGAGACCCTGGCTCAAAATGACTGGTTCAAGAGAATTCTACTGGATCATAATTTAGAGCCTGTGTAGCCAGGTATGGATGAAAAAAGCCACTGTGTGGCCAGTTACACAGTAAGAAGGCATGCACAAGAAATTCACAGAAAAGACAAAGAGTGAAATGGTAAGTGAAAATAGTACTTAAACCAGGGATTTAGGTGAGTGGCACAGCACCTGCCTGGCAAAAGCAAGGTCCTGAGTTTCATCCCCTGTACCCCCCAAAAAAGAAAGAAAATGTACTTAAAATGCCAACTATAAGACACTACTATATACATACTAAATGTGTAGAACTTCTAAATTATAACACTTGCAAGGCTATAAGTGGTGGTTTAAATTGGTACATTTTCTAGAAAGTTATCTGATGATATGTAACAATAACCATTAAATCATCAAATTCTCTTATCTAAAAATTTCAATCTTGGCAATTTCTCAAAAATGAAACAAAAGTTTGTTGACCATGTGTACAGAGCATTGTTTTAAGAGGGGGGAAAAACAAACAGAGCTAACAAGCCACCATATATCAATTTAATGCAATAGTAAGCATCTATTAAAATGATAAATGTGTGGCAAACAGACTAAAAATTTTGTCAAAACAATTTATATGCACACTGGGTGTGCTACATTAAACCCACATAGTTACATAGATAAGGTTAGTGTGACAGGTGGAAGTGTCTGTTGTTCTTAGAGTTGTTGAAACATTTAAACAAAAGGCTAGTTCAGCCTTTAAGTGTGTTCATGCCTTTCCAGCGGTGTCATTATTCCAGAACAACTGCTTTCCCTCCTCCACTAGGCAGTGGCTAAGTGGTTTCTCACAGACCTTGCTGTGATGGGCGAAGGGGTTAATGTTAGACATTGCTTCATGAGGTCTCTTCTGTCCCTGCTCAGTGCAGAAGTTATGGCTGTGGGAGATTCCAGTTCCAACTTTCCACGTTACTGATGTGTGGATCGGGCTGGTTCCTCTGCACCCTCCCTCTCACTTTACTCTTCTGTAACATGGGAATAGTAACGCCAGCCTCGGAGCATTGCTATTAGGATTAAGTGACCTAAAGTCTGTGAGCCGTGGGCAAGGTGCCCACTGCCAGCCTTGCTGAGGGTCCTCACATCTTTTCAGGAGGTTTTTCTGCACTGCCGAGTTCTTGTCTGTGGAATGCTGGATACGCATTCCCGCTGCGCCCAGGGTTGTCACCGGCGAGTGCTTCGGGCGGCGGGGGAAGGAGAGGACATTGCTGGTCTGCAGAGCCAGATTCTGACCGGCGGCCCAATCAGCATCAACTGGGAACACTAGTTCCCCACACACCCTAGTCTGCGGTCCCCTCTGGAACTTCTGCCATACCTTCTAAGGACACCTCAGAGGAGCTCCTAGGACACCTGGCTTCTTCAGACCGTGTGCTGTGAGTGTAGACAAACTCCCAGAACCCCTCACTGCTTCTGGTCTACAGGCTGATACATATCACAGCCCAGGCTACAGATGTGCTGCCCAATGTAGTCTGCATGGGCCTTCAGTTTCCCAGCGAGGAAGACCGAGCTGTCCACGGAGGAGGAAGCTCGCCCACCCTCCAGTGCTTTCCTCCAACTAAACACCTCGTGTTCCATGCAATAGGACCGCCCAGATCAGAAGCCGGTTATCATACTTCAAATTAGAAACCAAAAAATAAGTGCTTACTAAAACTATAACTTAAATACTCCCTAGACATGTAAATAATAATCATGCCTTCAAATTGCAATTCAAACACGGGATAGTTATGGGGGATTTGGAAGTTTATCAATAAAACAATGTATTATAAGGAGATGCCTTTTGGTCTTTCTCTTGCATAATATTTTTGGGTGTTTTCATTGCCTTAGGTGAAATATTTTCACTTAATAAATATTAATAAATTAATCAAATGCATTTAAGTGGTTTAATGACTAAACTATTAGCAAAATTAAAGTTTGGTACCACGTGCCCTCTAAATTGGCATTCTGTGCCTTCAAATCAGTAAGACATTAGACAAAGGTATAAAATTATACCATACTTAAGTGCTTAATAAATTTTATTGAAATAAATTTTATAAACCACAAAGATAAATATTATTTGTAATTAAATCAGTCTTTGTATGTGCATGTGCGTGTGTGTGTGGTACTAGGGATTGAACCCAGGGGCTCTCTACCCCTTAGCTGTATCCGCAGCCCTTGTTAAAATTTTATTTTGGGACAGTCTCACTAATTTGCCCAAGCTGGTCTTGAACTTGTAATCCTGCTAACTCAGCCTCCGGGTAGCTGGGATTACAAACTCTGGCCATCATACCTGGCTAAATTTAATTTCTTGATATGCCAATTAATATTATGCCTTTACATAAAATTAGAAAAAGTTTCTTTTTTCTTTAAAAGTCTCTGCAGTGAATAATTCCTTTTAGAATTGGTGGAATTAGGGAAAGGAAGGAAAGAGTAAATGATTTACACCAGCGCTTAGCAGCCTTGTTTCTACAGGGTCACATGGTAAAAATGTTTTCAGCTCTCTGGGCCATGCAGTTTTGGAGGTTTTGGTTTTGTTTTTTTGTTGTGTTTTTGTACTGGGTATCAAACTCGGGACCTTGTGCTTGCGAAGTAGGTGGCAGAACCACTGAGCTAAACCCCCAGCCCCTGGGCCATGAAGTTTTTGTCACCACCATTGACTGCTGCTATGGCGCAAAAACAGCTGTAGTCAAATCCAGCACAACTGTAAAGAAGTGTGAGCATGGCTCTGGTATCAAAAGTTACAAGAAACAGGCCTTGGACTGGATCTGGCCAATCCCTGATGTAGAGGAAGATTAGCACCCCCTGAGTCCTTTCCAGGCATCAGAATTACTTGGGGAAACTATCATAAAACACCATTGTGGAGGCACCAGCCCAAGCATCCTTACAGGCTTGTTTTATGTGGTCCTCAGGTGATCTTAATCATACTCATGTTAAGAACCAAAATATAGGGAGTGGCCATGTGTCTCTCACTCCCCGAGGTTGCAGGTGTTTCCCTAGCCCTTGCCAGGCCGGTCTCAGATGTTAGCATGACTCAAACACCACTCAGTACCTGAGACACCAATGTGGAAAGGCCCCGGGGGAGAAATGGAAGCTCGGAGCCCTGATTCCACCTGCCCTTCCTCTCCGTGGGTCTTAGCAGGTAAGCCTCCACCCCGCCCACCTGCTTTCCTCTCCTCCGCACCAGTGGAAATCACTGCATTGGTGGAACTTACCAGGCTGGGTTCTGTTCTCTTCTAAGTGAAATGGAAACGCAGGTGATAATAGAATTCATTCATCTCTGTTCACATTTTCTAAAAAGTACATTTTATTAAATGTGAGGTGCTTACTGGCAAATGAGGAAACCAGGCCAAAGGAAAGTCACTGCATCCCACAGGGTTGGACTCCTGAAATTTTCACGTATGAACAGGATGATCAGGTCCAGGGATCACAGGGCTTGCTCGTAGCATAGTCTTTATGCTGAGCAGTGAATCCAGGTGAATGTGTGCAGGTCAGGGAGAACAGTGTCAGAGTAGCTTCAATCTCTCCACACTTCTCTCATCTTTCCTCAAAGGACAGGACTCACTGTCTCCCTTCTCCGGCTGGTGTTATCCAGTTTGGCAGAAGAAAGGATGACACACGCCTGCCATGCTCCATCTCTGAGACTGACAGTTGTGGAACCACCTCATCATAATTCTTCTTTCTCCTCTTCCGCACAGATGCAAGCTGCCCGTTGACTATTCATAAAGGGCCGGCAGCCCAAGGTCCATACGGTATTGAACACTGTGTCAACCAGAGAATCACAGGCTACTTGAAAAAGATGGAGAAATAGAAAAGTTAACGTAGAGGACTAGCGTAAGTAGTGCAACCCCAGAGCAAAGAGGAGTCAGTCATCTGACACAGAATTAAAAGAGAAAGTACACATTTAAGAGAAGCGTTTTAGACAAGCTCCCACCCAATCCAGTTAAGTGGAATGCTTTTTGGAGTGTCTTTCTTTTGTGGAACTTCTGATCAAAATAATGGTTAGTAACCAGAATCTCCCCTATTATTATGCTCACCATTTTACAGAATCCTCCCTCGGGTGATACTGCTATGTATCCTGTCACTTTCCTGTTCAAGAATGGGATACGCAATTGTGTACTGGTTGAGAAACGTTTGTGTTGGATATGTTGGTCAGCCACTCTCCTGGGTGTCGGCGAGAGAAAGAAGGCATCATCCCCAATTCTAGGACTTCACAGTTTGCACCAAGGAGACAGAATGGTCAGGTCAATAGTTAATTACACTAAACCTCAATAGACATGTCCCCAGGGCAGTATGGAAGCCCACAGAAAAGGTTCCTAACCTTTTCGGGGTTAGGGTTATTAATTAGGGAAAGAAACTCAGAGAAACTATCATTCTCTTCAAGAATAATCAGGAAAATGAAATACTGATACAGGCTACTTGAAATCTTGAAAACATTATGCTAAATAAAAGAAGCCAAGACAAAATGCCACATACTATGTGATTCCATTTATATGAAGTGTCTGCTACAGGCAATCTATAGAGATAGAAAGTAGACTGGTGGTTGTCATGGGGTAATTAGGAATGACTGCTAACAAGTACAGGATTTCTTTTGGGGGTAGTGAAAATGTTCCGAAATTAGATGGTGGTGATGGTTGCACAGCCCTGTGACTATATGAAAAACCACTGAATCACATACTTTAAAAAGATGGATTTTATGGCATGTGAATGGTGTATCAGTAAAACTGGTTTATAAAAAATATTTTTAAAAGTTGACAAGCTTTTAGCTAGGCTGACCAGAAATCTAGGGAAACTCAAGTTGCTAAACTTGGAAATGAAAGACAGATAATGCTGCTAATCTTGCAGAAATAAAAAGAATGACAAGAGAACATGAAAAAATAGATAATTTAAAGGAAATGGACAAATCTCTAGAAAATCAGAAACTGCTAAAACTGACTAAAGAAGAAATAGAAAGTGTGAATAGATTGCTAGTGTACAGAAATACAATAACTAGTTCAAACTTTTAAGTTAGGAATTAAAAACTTCCCCCAAAAGAAACCCAATCCCACATGACTTCACTGGGGAATTTTATGAGACATTAGTGGAGAGTTAATCCCAACCCTTCTTAAACTTAGCCAAAAGTGGAGAGTTCAAATGCCAATTCATTGTACAAGATCATTATTACTCTGATACCAAAACCAGACCAAGACCTTACAAGGCCACAAGACTAAGACCTAACAAACCTCAGACCAGTATGTTTTATGAATATAAATGCAAAATCTTTAACAAAATACTAGTAAGCTGAATCTAGTAACATTAAAAAAGAATTACACCATTACCCAGTGGGGTTTATTTTAAGAATACACGTTTGGTTTAGCATACTACAATCAATTAATATAATAGATTTAGCATTAATAGACTAAAGGACAAATATCACATGATGCAGAAAAATATTTAATGATGACTGAATCCTTTTTCATGATAAAACCACTCAAAAAATTAGGAAAAGAAGGGAACTTCTACAATCTGATAGAGGCTAACTAGAAATAGCCACAACTAATAATTATGCTTAATGCTTAAAGGATAAAAAATACAGAACTCTTAGAATTCAATAATAAAAAGTACTTAGAAAGAGACATAAAGGATTTGAATAGACATTTTTCCCAAGCATTATGCTGTGGTCAATAAAAATATGCTCAAAGCCGGGCGTGGTGGCGCACGCCTGTGATCCCAGCACTCAGGAAGCTGAGGCAGGAGGATCGCTGTGAGTTCAAGACCAGCCAAGGCTACATAGTAAGTTCCAGGTCAGTCTCAACTACATAGTGAGACCCTGTCTCAAAAAACCAAAA